GGCGGGAAACGTTTGAAATCACACGGGTCGCTCATTCATCGAGTTTTCTGTGGTTTGAACCCACGGAAGTAGGGTGTGCCCTTGCCTGCGCCACGTTGCGAATCTCCAGCGTCATGTGGCTCTTGTAGGGCACGTCGGCGCGCTGGGTGTCAGCGTGGTACTTGTGGCTCTCGTGGATCATCTCCTTCTCGCGCGTCCAGTAGTTGAGGCTGATGGGGTGCGCCTCCGTGGAGCACTCGAGCGTCACGCTGGAGCCCAGCGGCGCGCCCACCAGCTGGTGCGGGATCTGCAGCATGGGCGGGACTGCAAACCAGGGACGAGCAAAATAATTAATTAAGTTCACAAGATTTAAAATGGCGCACATTAAATTCTTAAAAGGAAAATCTCCTGAAAAAAATTAAAAACAACTCATATTATGTGCAAGGACGATTTTTTTTTACTGTTTTCTTAACGTACAGATTGAGGAACTGGCTGCGAATTTCCTCGCTCTCCAAAGGGTGTTTGGAGGGGTGGCGGGGATGTTGCCGGGGTTGTGTCGTCTGTCGTGGTGCTGGGGCAGAAACGGCCTTCGATCGCCTCAACTTGTTCGTCAGGAGGAAAGTTTTCGCGCGATGACCACGTTTTGGGGGAGAAAGGGGAGAGGGGAGGAGGGGGTCGGCAGCAGAAGGGGCACGAAAGCGACATGAGGCGTCCGCCCGCCACGCATCCACCCCATGTGCGGATTGCCATGCCTGCAGTGCGTCCAAATGCTGTCGCCCCAATCGCCAACACCAACCAAAAAGCTTCTTCTCCCCTCCCTTCTTATTTCTCATGTTCTTCCCTCCGCCTTTTTGGCACCGGTCCTAATTGGGGTGCACCCCCCACAGCCTGGGCTGGCGCGGAGGTTCGGCCCAGGTGTATATATGGGGTCCCAGCGCCACGCCCCGCCACGACCCACCACGCCCCGCCACGCCCCGCCCCGGCTGCCAACGTGTCCCCCGTGTTCATGGTCACTTTCGATGAGACCCCAGATCCTCCCCTACCCCCTTCTCCCTTCCCCTCTGCCCACACACCGCCAGAGCATTCCCTGCGGTGTTTCATTTTTGGAGTTGGTCCACTAGACCAACTGCAGCTGGCTTCTAGCCACGCGCCAGCAATCGCAACTATCTTGTTTTTGAAAAGATGTTTGACAGTGACCATGTACAAAATACGAACCAAATAATGCCGTATGCAAGATGGGGATTTGTCTCTGGGATTTTAAGCTACTCTCAAGCTGACTCTCCTGCCGCTCGCACGTTAGTGCATGCGGCTCGGGGGGTCTCAGGCCGGCCCTTTCATAGGACGACCCCTCTCCCATCCCCACCAGCACCGCGTCTGCAGACGATCAGGGATAATATTGAATCCTAGTCCCGCTTAGGATGGGTGTACGTGTGTAGGGGTGGCGTTGCAGGGCGTGGCGTGGCGGGCGTTTCGGGCGTGCCGCTACGCCCCAACTCCCTCACCACCACGACTCCCACCACCAACACCGACACCCACGCCTGCTTCTCCCTTTACTTAACTTTCAATATAAATTCTATCTCTCTTGCCGGTATAGCTGCTCGGATTTTTTTCCCACCCCCCTGCTCTCTCCCCCTCTCTCACACCCACGACGACGGCGTGCCACCCGGTCAAACAGAATTAACGCGGGCGCACGAAGAAGGGGGAGAGGGGGACTTCCTGTCGCGGTGGAGAGCGCGTATCGCGGGAGGGCCATCGCTCCGCGGCACCGCGCACGCCAGGAGAGCGCGACCCGCACGGAGGGCGCGGGAGAGCGTTTGCGTGTAGCGCGGCGCGGGCGGCGGCAGGCTTCACACCAGGTGTTATCGGGATATGGTGACAAGCACTCCGTCTGTCGACAGTTTTGTATACTGTAATGCTGCTTTAAGTGCATCACTGTGGCAAGCAAACACACGTCTTTTGACTGGCAAAGCTGGCAAGCGCCTAGCACACGGAAATCTATAATGTTCGCAAGCGTTGGACTGCTGGAAAATTGAACACTTTCAAGGTCCGAAAACTCCTTGCTCAGTACCCAAATAGAGCATTTTAAAGTATTCAACTTTAGGGTTTAACATTCGCAAACATACAAACATCAAGTTCAACCAACACCTGCTAGTATGGAACATGGTGTTTACCATCAGCACCCTTGAAAGACAAAGGTACTAAGTCGTGCCTTTCTAGAGGTGCTAAAGAAATTTTAGGTTTAGTGCCTCAATTAAGGAGCTCTGCGTGTCTGAGATGCCTCTATCAAGGCACCAAAGAGCCCTAAATGCAGGGGTCCGTAACTTAACATAACGAACATGATCGGTTTGTTAAATAATATAACAAAGTCGCAAATAAAACTTTAAGTTAAGTTAGATACGTAACCAATAAGTAATCTGTTATTCCCTTAACGTTATATATGTAACCAATTCATTTAACGTTAAAAGCGGCTTCCCTTTATTTAGTGACTAATATCGCAGAGGCATGAAATAGAACATAACACTTACTTATCAAAGTAATATTTGATAAATCCATAACGGTTATTTTTTTAAACAAAAGTTATATGTTATTTACGTATCTGTTAAGTGCCATAGTAGGCGTTATCAGTTATCGGGTACAACACTAACGATTAACAAAACGTTATGAGGTCCTTATATGTTAAGTTACGGACCCCTGCCTAAATGTGCTAAAAATTTGTGCCTTTGCCACTTTTAGTGCATTTACAAGGGCACTAAAGGTTTACTGCCTTTGTAAAGACACTACATCTTTAGTGAATTTTTAAGGGAAGACAACTTCTCCATCAGTGGTCTGCTGAACTAACTTACAGTCCACGCTGACTCGGATCCTCTTGCTCATGGTGGGCGGCACGCCGTTGGAGGCGATGCACTGGTAGTCGCCCATGTCCACGCGGCTGATGCGGGTCAGCTCCAGCCGGGTGCCCTCCCACTCGGTCACTGAAGGTACAACGAGCGTCAGCGTCAGTCAAAGACGAAATAAAAGAAAATTAGGAGAGAAAAGAACGTTTCAAGAAAATGAAAATGGCATGCATGTCTCAAAAAAAAAAAAAAAATCAGAAATGTTCAGGATGGAAAACGATGGGGCAAGAGCTCCGGGAATTATGTGTACACCTGCCTGGGAATCATCACAATAAAAATTGATCGAAATCAACAAAAATCGCCTAAACTAAGCGGGAAACGAGCGGAACTGGTACAAATTAGTCGAAATAAGCGTTCCCTGCCACTAGAAAACCTGAAAGATAAATATAAACGGACCGGAATCACTGGGATTCAAGTATTTCGGGAATCATGTGCACACATCAAAAGGGAGTTATTGCCCCCTTGCCCCCTCGATGGAAAATGAATGCCGCTGATGACTTGCCTGCTAAGGTCTTGTTGATGTTGATGGTGCTGTTGTCGGCGCGCTTCCACTTGACCACGGGGTCCGGGGAGCCGGACGCGGCGCACGACAGGGACACGTTGGCGTTCTCCCGGACGATCACGTCCGAGGAGCTCTGCGTGTCCGAAATGCTGGGTGGGACTGTTTCGAGGAAACAAGAAAAGAAAATAACGGAGATATAAAAAAAAACTGTCACCAAAGTCATAATTACTTCAATCGCAGGGTGGTAGATCTACAGTATATGGTGTGGTTTGATGCTTCACGGGTGGACTAGGCCGACGCCAGAGGCGGGAGACGGGAGGAGAAGGTTGGCGCGCGAAACGGACTTAACCCTTCGCCGTCGCAATATATTTTCAACAAAATCAGCGGTAAATCTTGCGCAGCGAGGCTGGCACCTCCGAAGGCGATAACACGCCGTGATAACGTGCCGCGCTGCTGGGGCGTGTCATCCCGAGGCACATTACTGAGCCAGGTCAGGTCTGCCGGAGGGGAGGGCTCTGTGATACTGCGGAGCAGCACTGCAAACGCACACCACTGTTCATTTTTCTAAAGGCTTGCTCCCCCGCCCTGGAGTGGTCGCAGTCGTGGAGGACGCCCAGCTCGCAGTGCGGTGTGTGGCACAACCCCTCCCCTCCAGGGGTGACTCCACGAGAGTCCGAGCAACTGTCCGGCAGCGGCGACCCTCAGGCCCCCACGTCCACATGAAAAATGACGTTTTAAATAAGACAGCAAAGCATGCCTCTACGTAGTCCGCCCTCCCCTCCTCCTCCTTCCTGGTGGCCCACATCCCGTCCCCCTTGCACCTCGCAGGTTCAATCTGTCTCCCCCTCCCTCCCCCTGTCCCCCTCCGCTCCCAGATAAATGAACGGACGTGTCAGTGTCGCGCCGCGCTGACCACAATAAAGAAAGATCGCAGGTATTTGTATCCTTCCCGGAGTTCATTGGCAGTGCGCCGCCG